AGGGTGAGGGGGGCGGGGGGGGTGACTCAGGTCTGATACAGCCTTCTCGGTCATGATACTAACTTTGTTATTTTTCCTAAAAGCCCCAGGAAGCTGATGAGAGTTGGAGGACTAACCTACGGTCACAAGGCCAGTCGATGGCAGAGCCAGGGCTGCGAGGCAAGCACTCTGCCCTGATCCTTTCACCAGAGTTCCTGTCTATGCTGAGGATGGTGTGGGTCTGAGAGACACAGCCAAGCTGTGGACACTGCTCGCTCTCCCCCTTCTTACCAGCTGTCCTGCCAGCAGCTGCCGGGGGAATTGCACCTGATGAGAGCAAGAGGCTGGCAGAGTAGAAAGATGGGAAGCCGAGTCCCGAGGGCATCGCTGAGCTCGCCGTCAGCATCCCTCCCTGAACACTGGACTGTCCGTTCCTTTGGACGTAAGCCAGTTTCAGCCAGGATTTCTGTTGCTTGCCACCGTGGCATCTTACCGGGAAAGCTGGGGCCTGGCATTCCTGGCCTGCACATTGCCCTGGCTGGAGTGTTAGGATGTCCTCAGAGCTGTCTCTTCTCTGGACCGACCCGCCTGAGTTCCTTTGGCCTTTGCTTAGGGCCCCACCTCCTTCTGCATGAGACCCCACCGTGGACAGGATGAGATCAGGTTACTTTTCATTCCAAAGAAGGGACTCACACCATCACGGGGGTCCCACAGACTGGGAGCATCGGGGCGCAGCCCCTCCTGTGGTGCTGGAGCTCCCAGGGTCCTTCCCATGTCAGGGGCTCCTGGGTGCTTGTGTCATACTGGGCAGTGGCCCAGGGCCATAGGCCACAGGGTGTGACCTCATTGAGCACATCTTCCGGGAGGGTGAGTGAAATGAGAAGGCCAGATGAGAGGAGGGGCTCAGAGGACCCCCCCATCCACTTGCAGAGCTGTGGGTGTCACAGCACCCCTCTTTCTCTTAGCCTCTGGCCCCACTAGTACTTGGTAGCGATCCAATTCCTCCCTTCCCATGAGGCCTCTCCCAGCAACACCGAGCTGGCCTGCGACCCTCTCTGGGTCCCCTTCCCCACTTGTGGGAGAAAGGATGTGGGGAAGGAGCGTGGTTCCGGGCTTAGAAAAGCTGGCCCTGGGTCGTGGGTCTGCTCCTTGCCAGCGGAGTGGGTGCAGGAAAGCCGCTTACTGTCCCTGCATCCCAGTTCCGTGTTTGCAAAATAGGGATCAAAACCAGTCTCCCAAACTGGGGTTGTTTTGAGGATTTCGGGAGATACTGGCTGACGGGAGGTCAGTGGGTCTGAGAAGGGTCAGCAATGGTACAGGGCCAGGTAGGGTGAGGTGTCGGCAGCACCAGCTACATAATGTGGGGGCCCAGTGCAAGATGAAAATGGGGGCCCTTGGTTCTAACATCATGAACCTCAAGGTGGCTACAGCAGAGCATTGAACCAAGTGTGGGTCCATGCTCAGAGGACCCACATCCATCTCTTACACTCGCTGCTGTACTTTTAACACTCACGTCCTGGCCCAGAAAGCACCCAGGAAGTGGCAGGACCCCTCAGATGCCAAGAGGTCAGTGGCTGATAATAATCAACTGCCCACTCCCAGGACCTTTGCCTGTCGATCCAGGACCCGAGGCTGCAGCGTCCAGAGACACCGCTTTTTACTGGTGGAATCTGCCCAGTGGGTGTGAACGGCTGGGTGTAGGGAAGGGGCCGTGGCTCTTGGACAGTCCCCCCATGAATCCAGGCCAAGGTCACAACCCCTTGTATCTGGAAACAGCTGACTGCTGGTTCTGGGTTCCAAAGCGGTGGCCCTGCCCCGCGCAGTGACGTCTGCCAGGGAGGCCCCTGGACATCATTGCGATGGTGACTTTTATGGGAGCGGGTACAGGCCACAAGCTGTCAGGGTGGCCGCTGCCCCTTGGCCCCTCTTCGCCATTCCTGTTGTCTCACCCTCGAAGGCCTGGCCCTCTGTGACCCTGGGCTCTGTAGTGAATGCTCTCACACCCTGGGCAAGCCCGGGGCACGCGGGTGTCCCCATACTCTCTGCCACTCAGCGCCAACAGTGTTTCCAGGTGAAGTCTTGTTGGGGTAATAAATGGGATGAAAAAACAATACTTCACTGTATTTTTTCCTGGAGCATCATGACAGATTGAGGGCCGGTGGCTTGAGGCGTGCTGGCCAATTCCAGCTCCTGTGACCCCCAGAGGCAGGGGGGCAAATGGGCATGTCGCAGGCTTCCCCTACTTGGTCTGGCCTGACTCCAAGGCCCCCTGGCCTCCTTCTCCCTGGCCATCCTGCCAGCGGCGCCTGTGGGAATGTTGCACCCGGCGGAGCCCAGGCCCATTTCTGCTGCCCTGAGAGCCTGTGTAGCCTCATAGGTCCCAGGGGAGGGTGTCATGCAGATGGGCTGGCTGCCCGGCCCACAGCTGGCTGAGCTGCACGGGGGAGAATGGGCCTACCTCTTCCTCCATCACCCAGGACAGAAAGGGGCCCCGCTGGGGGGCGGGTGCGGGGGGAGGTGTCTTGGCGCCTGGCACCTCACTAGTTCCTCCAGAAGAATGGTTGTTTCTTTGCCATCTGAGTGATGCTGCTTAGAGAAGCTAGGCTGGAGGAATAAGAATGATGAAATGGTCATTATTCACTAACCACTCTCACTGTCCAAACCCAGAAATCAATCTGATCCAGGTAGCCAGGGACACTGGTAACTGTAATAAACATGGCACCAGCGCTCACTCCTGGGGTGCTGTTCTGTTCCAGGCACCGTATATATGTTACCTGAGCAAAGTTTCCTAACAGCTCCATGTAATAATAGTAATAAGAAACATATCACACTTACTAAGTGCTTGTCCCAGAGCGTAATATACTACATCGACTCTTCAGATCCTAACAACAACACTGTGAGGTAGGCCCTTTAATCACCCCCATTTTGCAAATGAGAAATGAGCTTCAGAGGGGTTTAGTGATTTGCTAATTGTCCAGAGCTAGAATTTCACTTAGTGCTGCTACAGATAATATGTAAATGATGTAAATGATGTAATATGGATGTGGCCCTGTTCCAATAAAACTTTATTTACAGAACAAGCAGAGGGCCAAATTTGGCCCACTGGCAATAGTTTGCTGGCCCCTGTCTTAGAGTTTGGAATATTTTCCAAATGATAGACCATGGAGTTCTTTTTCTCAAGGGGGGTTCATGTCCCACAGAACGTTTTCTTCATTCGACCAGCCCTTGACCTTCAGTCATCGGGCCCATCCCCATTGTTCATGTCCATCTTGTTCGTGTCTATGTGGTTGTACGGTGGGATACTGTCTTATGAGGTTCATTGGTGGATGGGGATTCCTATTCAGACTTTATCCTAAGTAATTCCAACCACTTTGGGCTGGAAAATTACTCAGCTAGGGCCCTTGTGTGGGATTTTTAAGTACTTTGGGGGGTTCAGCAGAACTTGAGATACCTCATCAGGGATGTT